GGGGGGTGGGGGTGGGGGGGTGCTGTTGCCAAGGAGCGAGAAACTGCCTCAGATTTTAGACACTCAGTCAGCAGCACGATTACTTCTTAAAGCCAACCATGCCGCTGTAACGTGCCATGGATTTAAACAGGGCGTTCACTAAATGAGCAAGGGTTTCAAAGATCAATATATTGAATTTCACGTGCTCTTCACTGGAGCGAGAAGGGTGGACACTGAGGCGGAGTTCCTGGCAGCTGGGAAAAGGTGGAGAAGGAAGGGAGAGATAAAGCTAGTGTCTGGAAGTTTTTGTCCAAGATCAGGCCTTGGTAAACTAAATGAATGTCCTCCCGCACGAAAACAGAAGCAGATGTACCGTGCTTCAGAAGCTGGCTGTCCAGAGAGGAAAATACCCCCTCTTTCTGAAGCCCAGGTGAGGCCAGCCTTGCAGAGATCTTAAATGTTAAATTGCTTTCTAAATCAGTAACACCTCAACGTAGTATGAGCACAGGTGACTTTGGGCAACTCTTGCTAGATTTTTACAAGGTCAGAAACTCAGGGAATGAAAACTTGCTCAGATCGACCCCCACAACCCAGCCATGCTGTAAATTCTGTGCTAGGGATCATGCACTCACTTCCTGTGGCTGTCCTTGGTATGCTACAAAGTGGGTGGCTTGACACAATGGAAATTTCCTTGCACAGCTCCGAGGCCAGTCTGAGATTAAGTTGTTGTCTGGGCCACATTCTCTCTTCTCTGGAGAGTCTGATGCTTGCCTTTCTTTTCTTCCAGTGCGGTTGGGGATCCCTGGTGTTCCTTGGCTTTAGGTTCCTTACTCCAGTCTTGCCTGTTCTGTGTGTGTTATATGTCTGTCTTCTTGTTTTTCACCTCTTCCTCTCTCTCTCTTTCCTACTCTTCATATAGGTTGCCAGTCATGTTGTATTGGGGGGTCACCCTAGTCAATATACATCATAAAACTCCTATTTCAAGACATATATCTTTTTTTTTTTTTTTTCAAGACATATATCTTTGAAGGGGGCAACTTAACCAAGAAACAGTAAGGGACAGTGACATGTAGAAAACCATACGTTCAGCTCCATTTAGAAGGTGGAGTTCCACACTCCCGTTCGCACATACAACTGTTAATGAAGCTCTGTATGTTATACCAGAGGAGACTATGACGCATGATACTGACTATTCTTTTGAAAGGATTAGAAATGTATTTCAAAGACAACAAATTTTCTCAAAAAGGCAATAAGAGCCCATAATTTATTTGGGACACCTTCCAATTTGTGTGTCACTAGCTTGCTGTCCTTATTTTTAGTGGGCAGAGAGCAAATAAGTATGACCTGTTTACCACAGTGCATTTCCATTGATGTGGAGGGTCAATCTGTGTAAACTTTTTTTCTAGGCCATTCCGTCCAGAGCTCCTCTTTATTTAGGTATATTATCTGCCCAATAGATAATCTTCTGATCTCTTATGCTCTTGGCAAGACACGTTACTTGTTACCGACGACAGGGGATATGTAATCCCCAAGTGCTTCCCTGAAGCGCTCTCCTGCTTACCTCTCCTTTCAAACTGATGAAAAATACTTATCATTAACTGACCTCCTTCTATGTGCCAACCTCTGAGCTGACCAGCTCATGTGTATTATTTTATTTAATCCTTAAAATAAACTTCTGCTGCAAATACTGTGAATCCCATTTAACAGATGAAGGAATGGACACTTGGATAACAACACGTCTTGCCCTAAATCACAGAGTTTGTCAGCAGAAGAGCTGGAATGAAAAACAATGTACAATTCCAAACTCATATTAGACTGAATTCATATATTGTGTTCCACAGGAATCCTGGTGTATTTTCCTTGACATATCTAGTTCTTTTTCCTCCCTCTAATCTTTGACTTGCAAGAAAAGCGTTCCAGGTTTGGGGGCATAGACCAGAACGCAATGGCCCAAACCTATTTAAGGGGTCCAATGTTTTACTTTTTACCATTAGGTGGAGCTATGCCTATTTTCTCTCCAAAAGATCCTGACCTCTAACATATACATTAGTGAACTCTGTCTTTGGACTCCCAAAGTCCAAATGGCTATCAGAACCAGATTTATTAGTGAGTCAAAAAACAGATTACTAGATTTATAGACTAACCTATCCATCATAGAGTTTCCCTAAGCTTTTTTTTAAAGTTTTTTTTTAAGGTCATTGTGGTGGTATACACCTTTGATTTCAGCTACTCAGGAGGATCACAAGTTTGGAGTTAGCTTGGACACCTTAACATGGCACTGTCTCAAAATAAAATTAAAAGGACTGGGCGTGTAGCTAAATGGTAGAGCATTTGCCTAACATGTGCCAGGCCCTGAGTCCCCAGCACCACTCACACACAGTAAAAAAAAAAAAAAAAAAAAAAAGTCCATACTGATTGCAAATGGTGGATAAATCAACAACCTGCTTATGTACAATAGATGTAATAGGCTTGGAACTACATGAATGTCTTTTTTGACCCGTAAGGAACCACATCAATTGAATAATCATTATAATAAAATTATTTTTCTAATGAAGGTGAAGAAGTGTTGGGGATTAAATGGCCTTAGTAGCTTTTATGAGAACATATCAGAGGAGGTGCTCTTCCTCCTTGTATTAGTTCTTGTACCATAATGAAATCCATTGTCTTCAGGCTAGTCAGTGCTATATTTCTGTGCTTTTTGTAGTGACTTTTGTTGCTCACAATGTTCTCCACACATAGTGCTGGAGTTATGTCTCATGTTTCTAAGTGCCAGAAGGCTGTGGTGTCCCTTAAGGAGAAAATATGTATATTAGATAAGCTTTGTCCAGGGATCAGTTATAGGACCATGGGCCCTGAGTTCAATGTTAACAAGTCAACCATAGGTACTAAAGAAAGAGTCTTTAAGTAGAAAATATAGTAAAGCAAGGTTATTTACTGACCAAAAGAAGAAAGGAAATATGACTGAAAACTTATAGGAAGCTAATCCTGTATTTCCCCCAAGAGCAGTGATTTTGTATTCACCAAGTCAAAGTACATAGTGGCTTTATAGACCATAGTAAATATTAATAGGAAAATTTGACCCCCCCTCGTGTGTGTGTGTGTGTGTGTGTGTGTGTGTGTGTGTGTGTGTTGGTGTAGAAATAGGATTCCAAATGACCTTGACGAGTCCTGGCATGTAGAGATGCTTTGTGAGTTCTCCAGTGAGTCACAGGCAGGATGAGGGATGCATGGATTAAGGTAACTACATAGTGAAGAAAGAAGTTATGGGATTACTACTAGATTTGGACAGAACTTCTGATTTGTTTTACAAATGCTCTAATATTGCCACCTTTCATATAATGCAGCAAAGTACAGAAAATAATGAGGAGAGGAAAGGGCAGAAACTCATGAGTGTCCCTATAAATGCACATACAGATGGGAGGATGGGGAGCACTGACCTGTGCATCTGGTGGGGTGACGGAGAAAGACCAAGTCCAGCATTAAGAGTGTCACAGTAGGTTTCAGGGATGACTATTATAGGCACTAAAGATTTCTTGTTATTTCCCCATTATTTTTAAACCTGTTCATTTCCCTACCCTAACCAGGATCAATTGCCTAGGATGATATGGTGTATGCTGGGTTCCTTCCTTCAAAGCTCAATGGGAGAAGAGAGATTAGAGAAAAGTAGTTGGTGGTTGTTAAGAAGAGAAGCTACACAATTTCTGGGGATCCTGAGAAGAGAAGAAAAAGGAAATTCATCACCACCCCAAAATTATTCCAAGTCAGTTCCCACAGGTAAATATTCCTATAGCTGGCCACACAAAGTCTTAAATAACCTTTAAGACCCACATGAAAAAGCTCTGGAAGCTGCAGTGATCAGAGCTTGTGAAAATACTGTGGCCAACCTAGAAGGATTTATCGATCCACCAGAGCCAGAGAGCAAGGAAGAGAACTCATAAGCTTGAGGGAGAGTATAGTATAAACACCTGCTAGAAAGAATAGGAACTACTGAGAAGTACTCAATAAAGCTTTTGTTTCTCTATCAGGGAAAACAATCTTTCTATGGGGAAAGAGTATAATAAAAAGAAGCTTAGAGAGATGGGAGGCCTGCAGAGGGAGGAACCCTGCAGCTTTAACATCCTGATAAATGCCTGAGACAGAGAGAACGGGCTCAGGAGAGAACTCTGCAGGGTGGGGGGTTTCCTAGGAGTGATATCGGAATAACCAGGGCAACAAGAGAGAAGTGACAGACCCCAATATAGTCTGATGTAATGATTTAAGAAAACAAAGGAAAGGAGAATCCCAGAAACAAAGACAAGTTAGTGTTTATTCCCAGACCAAAATTAGAATTTGAAATTATGTAGTTTTCTAGTCCTAGGTATGAGGATCAAGAACAAGAGGTGCCAACTTAACCATTTTCTCCTTTTTATGGGATTACTATGAGATATGCAGATGTGGAGGAGTTTAGAGAGATCAAGTATGTGGATTTTGGCAAAGATTCTCATGGTTTCATGTAAATAAGATGGAGAAATGTGAATTGCACTGTATCCTGTTTTAACCCTGGGCTGGATGATTACCTGATCTGGAGTGTAGGCCAGCTGACAGCAAACACCCTCCCCGTTCCCAAACACAGGAAATTGATGCAAAGCCAATCTTCAGCAAGAAGCTGGTGACTGAGTAAATTTCTATCATTGCAGTTGATATTGAGAATACACAGAGGCATTGTTTCTTTGAATAAACCCATTCCTTAAGAGGTTAGACCCAGCAATTCCACTAAAAGTCCACTTAAAACTTATACATGGCAATGTGTTCATGGCAGCTAAAAGAAAATAAAGGAAAGAACCCAAATGTTTATTAACTAATCAATAGATACATAAAATATAATACAGCTACATTGAAATTTTGTAGATTTCACTGCATATAAATGTCACCTAATAAAAGAACAGTAAGCAATGAAAGAGGGGAATGTCCATACAGTTGAATAGGATTTGTCAATACAAAGATATTAAATGCCGAAACACTCTAGGACACTGATGGACCTTTAAAACATTTGCTAACTTAAAGAGGACAGTCACAAAAGACTACATATTGTATTATTTCACTGTCATTTCTTTGTATGAAATACTTTGAACTTTTTAAAGCAGAAAGATGAGAATTATAGAGCAGAAAGAAAAGAAGAAAAAGAGCCTGGAAATTTAGTTCAGTGCAATGCATACAGTTTAATCCCCAGTACAAACAAACAAAAAATATTCTACCTCACCCTGGCCATACAGAA